CAGGGAAGTGGTTGAGTCCCCATCCCTGGAGGTATTTAAAAGATGTGTAGATGTGGTGCTTAAGGACATGGTTTAGTGGTGGACTTGGCAGTGCTAGGTTAAGGTTTGGACTCGATGATCTCTTAGAGGTTTTTCCAACCTAAATGATTCTACGATTCTATATTTTTATGGGGCTTCTTCTGTATTCAAAAGTTATTTAAAAAAAAATACTGTCATTGTGAGGCAATACACATTTTTGTCAAATTGAGTTGCAGTGTGATGGCTGGTGTTTGAGTAGAGAATGGATACATCCATCCACATAGGCATTGTTTTCACGTGTATTCACTGTATTGCTTTTCACCAGTGTGGCCCTATTTTACCAAATAATTTTGAACTATGTGTGGGGTTTCTTTTATTTGGTTTTAGGCTTTTTACAGGTGGGTTTTTTTCACATTAATCGCTTGATATTGAGTTTTTCAAATTTCATATTTTATGAAGCAGAAAAGCTACTTCTCTTTAATTTTATCACAACAAAGCTGCATTTTCAGTATTTTGTAGAGATACTGTTTTACAAGCGTATAATTTGGGAACTCAAATGTACTCGAATACTGTTTTTTAATCTGGGGTGCCTGGTTTTCTGGGGTCTGTAGAGTGTTTAGAGATAATCCTTTGAAGTTACTTTCAGAAAAGGAGATTCATATATGTTTTACTCCATTCTAGCTTTTGTAAAGGATTCTGTGGACCCCATGGTGTTTTTGTGCTTGCAAATTGGAAAAGGTTGGAAAAGAATGTCTTAATATTAGAAATTCATCATAGTTCTGCAGAATTATTTGGGTTAGAGCAGATCTAGAACAATGCAGTCATTTCAGTAAAGAGAAGTATCAGAACATTCTTGATTCCGGTACAATGATGTTTGTATCTTTCTGCATTACTAAATAGCTTTTTTGGTGATACAGCAAATTTGTGAAGTATTCCTGATTTATAAAACAAAATAAAAAAATAAAACCCCAGACAATGTGGAAGATCTGTGTAGATCTTGGCTTGCTGAAGCTTCTCAGTTTCTGTAAACCAGATCACTAATGCCACCTTTTATGTTTGAGGTTGTATAAAATAATGGAATAGGTCTGTTTTTCACCTTCCCCTTGCACAAGTTTTACAGCAATTTAACTCCTTTCAGTTCAAGGAAATGCTATTGGATTTAAAGAAATCTCTGATTAGAGCTAGACTTGACCCATCTCTGAGTAATCTAGGACATTGTTACAGTTACTCTTTCATTTACAAAGATCTCATGCACTGGTGGTCTTGCAAACTAAAAATAAAGCACATCAGTAACAGGTATGGTTTTGCTTGTGGGCTCTTCTTGGGCAAAATCTAGTGCCTCAGAAGATCAATTACAAGCTGAGTTTCTTCAAGCAGCCAGGTCTGTTTTGAAGGCAGAGAAGTACCTGTGCGCCTGGCTTGGGGCGGGGGGGCGGGCAGAAATTGGGATAATGTTTTTTCCCCTACTTAGTATGGTCATAAGTTTAAAACAGGAATGATTGAAAAATGATACTGTGGGCTCCTCTGCTAATAGTTGTTGAGCAGTGTCAAGGTTTTTTCATTGTACAAGTGAAAACATTTTTCTAACTGCAAGAATCGTAAATGTCTTTAGAACAAAGTGAGTTTTCGGGTTTGTGCCTCACAGTCAGTGATAATCCTCTCTTTATTAACAGCTGCGCCATACCATTGTCTTTGAATGTGACTAAAAACATGATGTAACCCGGGTGGGAACTTGTGTAACTGTTCTAATGATGTGATAGCTGGATTGGACTCCAGTTTGCTTTCTCATGGCCTTGAAAGCAGCTCGGCAGTAGTTACTAAGAGTAAAAGAAAGTTGATACTAGTGAATACATTGTGGGATGGATATGTTGAGAATGTGCTGTTTAATATAGCCAGTTTTTGAAGTGTAACGTGGTTTCAAAATAAGCTGTTAATTTAAATAATTTCCAGTCTATAAAATGACATTCCAGCCCATAAAAAGGTAAGGCTTTTTGCCAGGGCTAACAATGCTTAGTTCCTTAGTTTGCAGAATAAATGTGGCAAGCCTTTTAATGCTGACTACTTTTTTTCTGGCTTAGGACTAAATATTTAATCAGTCAGTTATAGATTACTTGTTGATTTCAAATCATTTTAATTTATCTAGTGTTTTTCCCCCCCTAGGGATTCTACAAATGAAACTACTGCACATTCAGATGCTGGCAGTGAGCTTGAAGAAGCAGAAGTCAAAGGAAAAAGAAAAAGGGGCCGTCCTGGCAGGCCTCCAGTATGTGTAATTTAGTTTTGTTTTGTTATGCATCTATTTAAAATTGACTGCAAACTGTTTTTCATCTAATCATCTTGTGGTCACATAAGTAGGCTTTTAATGAGCCCTGTGTCAAACTTTATGAAGACTTGTAGTATGAAATATTTATCAGATTGATGCACAAACAATGTTTGGAGTGTTTAAAAAGGGACATAAAAATGAGCTCATAATAGCTATTATTTTTTCTTTCACTACCTACTTACATGAACATTACAATTCTGTTGTTATTGTCATATTACAACATTCTTTCAGACATGAGACTAATCTCAGTAAGCACAACCACTTTCTGTTTTGAAAGTTGTAATGGATTCTAAGTGACAAATGACATTTGAGCCATCCTTTTAGTAACTGATAATCTCTTAATGCGAATGGAAGAGTTGCAGCATAGTATTAACTAAATGCCTCGGAATATCTATTAACACATCTTAAAAATTCATGTAATTGACATACACTGTGTCCTATGTATAGATTGGGAGTGTCAACCTATTCTCTAGCATAGTGCAGCAGACAATATTGCTGTCTGCTGTATAAGATTTGCTGTTCTTCAGTAGTCTCTGCCCATTGCTCACCCATGAATGGGAACATACAGAAACAATTCTCTATTACACATAGTATTTAAGGAGGCTTTCTCTTTTATTTTCATTTATTTTATAAAATAGCCAATTTATTGGAAAATACAGAAAGTGCTGTGTGTCATATTGTCCTTCATTTTAGTTCTTCAGTGTCATCAGATGTAGTTCTCTTGCTTATATCACTTGAAGTACACACTGTGGAATAAGATTTTTGGTGGGAACTTCTATGTGTTTGTTATTAATGGTTTTGATTCTCCTCATAGTGTTTGTCTATGAGTACACCCCCAGCATGAATATAGCACTAATAGATTGAGATTTATTATTTTTTACCCTAAGACCTTCCACCCTAAGTCTAACTCCTTAAGCATGAGCTAGTGAGGCTGTAAGAATGGACAGAACCATGTGTTCCTCTCAAGCATGCTGGCCAAGCTGGAGCAAACTCCTCCTTAGCATTGGTTTTCAATTTGCATCACAGTCTCTGGACTTACTTTGGGAGCCAACATTTTAAATCCTGGGCTTTTCTGGGCATGTTGTCTTCCTTTTTGAAAGCTTTTGAACAGTGTTTCCTATGATGGCATATATTCTTCATCAGATGGACAGACTTGCTCACAAACATGGAGCTTCTTTACAAGAAGCTTTAAAGAAGCATGTAAAGAGAACGGGTCATCTGTTTAGCTTGTAAGCGAAGGGCAAAATCAGAAATTATCTTAAGAATATCTCATTAGTAAATCTATGAGGTTTTGAAGATCTAATTAAGAAAAAAAACAACAGAGGATGGTGTAACCTGATTGCTAACCGAGAAGGTTGTCAGAGTGTAGGTATTTAAGTTAAAGCAACACTAGTGGTATCTTGTACCCACCACACATTCACTGGAAAGGAGAGGTGAATGTTACAAAAGGCTTTTCTCATCCCTCTGTCTGAGCTTATTAGTAGCTCCTATTCGCTGAAGCACTCTACTGGTCCTGCTATCAAGTTTCTACAGAAGCAATTGCTCATTATGCTTAGAACAGCTCCAGGCTCATTAAGTGCACATGATTGTAAAGTGATGAACATACAGAGGAAGCGGCCATTGCTTCATACATAAAATGGTGGGCTATGAGCTGATCGTTGCTGCTAAGGCACAAGACCTTAGGGTTGTCAGAGATGATTCCATGAAAGCATCATCTTAATGCTCAATAGGGGTCAAAAAAACCAAATCCAGTCTTAAAACTGAGGAAGAGAATAGAGAATAAAACAAATACTGTGTCCTTTATAAAACTGTGGTTTGCCAAAATTTGGAATACTTTGCACAATTCTAGTTTCTCTTCCCCTCTTGACCTCCACCCCAAAATCTCAAGAAAGGGTATATTAGGACTGGAAGACGTTCAGAGAAGAGAAACAATGATGGTCAATCATGGAATCAGGCTGGGAGGGACCTCAGGATGTCTCATTGCAACCTCCTGCTCAGAGCAGGTTCAGCTTTGGGATCAGACCACATTGCTCAGGGTTTTTCCAGTCTGGTCTTGAAAACCACCAAGACTGGAGACTGCACACCCTCTCTCAGCAACCTGTTTCATTTTATTTCATGAAAAATTTCTTCCTTGTAGGCAGTCAGAACCTCTCTTTCTTCAGTTCATGACTACTGTCAGTTGTCCTCCCACTATATGCTGTTGCAAAAAGCCTCACGGGGGAGTGTTCCCGGCCCCCTGACCGTGCTGGTAGCCCTCTGCTGAACTTGTTCTAGTTTATCAATACCTCTCTCGCATTGAGAGGGCCAAAACTGGACACGGTATTCCAGATAACGGCTAAGAAGTGCTGAGTAAAAGGGTATAATCACTTTCCTTGGTGTACTGTTATATTCCTGTTTGTACAGCCCAGGGTGCTGGATGGCCTTTGCTGCTCAGGCACATGGCTGTCTCATGTCCAGTTTGCTGTCCTCCAAGATCCTGAGGTCCTTTTCCATAGAGCTGTTCCCTGACTAGCTGGTCTCCAGCCTGTGTTGGTGCAGGGATTTATTCCTCTTTCGGGGCAGGTCTTTGCATTTGCCCATGTTGAATTTTGAGTGTACTGATAGCCCAGTCCTCCAGACTGTCAATAGCAGTCTTGTCCTTGATGTCATTAAGCCGTCTCCCTGCCAATTTGGTGTCATCTGCACACTTGACAGGAGCACACTCTTTCACCCCCTCTGGCTATCTGATAAAGATGGGAAACTGGACACGTTCCAGTTAGACTTCTGTCTTACTCCCTCATTGCCAGCCTCCAGGTAGAGGATGATCCATTAACTGCTATGCTCTGAGCCCAACAGTTCAACCACTTGTCCACCCATCTAGTCTTCTACCCATCCACATCACAACTTCCCAATTTAAATACAAGAATATTGTGGGAGACTGAAAAGCTTGCTAAAGTCAAGATAAATGGCATCTATTGCTCTCCCCTCATCCACAAATTCAGTCATTTTGCTACAGTTTTTTGGGTGACTTGACAAAATGTATATGTTTGGATACACAATCAAATCCTGCCTTCATAATCGATACTGCAGCAACAGAAAGGAGTAAATAAGGTTGTTCTACAAAAGAATGACCAAAAAGGAAAAAGCCACTCATTTTCTAATATCCTTGAGGAGAAGTGTGAACACCTTGGAAAGTCTAATCTAGGCAATTAAATTTATAACATTTGATATTAAAAGTCATGGAATTAGTAATTGAGGTATTGTTTTTGCAAACATTGTATTTCACTTTCTCTCCTCCTCCACGTTGCTCACCTATCCACGTTGCTAACCCATCCACTTTCCCCAGGTGAATGATCTGTTTCTTACAGGAGGCGCAGCTCTGACATTTTTTCCCCCACTCTTCCATCTGCTAATGTGATTTTTATTTCCTTCACAGATACCACCTACCTTTGCTCTCAGACGTGAAACAGATTAAAATATTTAGTTAAATTCAGAGCTGTTTTTCTCAGCTGATACTTAGCTTTGATGTTTTTCATTTCTGTTGTAGACCTAAAGAAAGGCTTTTCTGCCCAAAGGCTCTTCTGTTTTTTGTTTGGTTTTTTTCCCTAACTAAAATATTATGGTCTAACAAGATTCGATGTCTCCCTGCAAATACTGATTTGCTTATGTCCTTAGGCCATCACAGCTACAGTGACACATCTGCCATAAACATATTGACCTCTTTTGGAAAGAGAGTTTACTCTTCTGTGCTTGTTTTGTCTAGCTGCATGGTTCTATTACAGAGCTGCACACAGTGTACTGCATCAAATACATGTATGTATGTATTTTAAATAGGTTTCTGCTGTAGTGTTATAGAATGGACTTGACCTTTTGTTAGAAAGACAGACTAGAGGGTTTTCCAAACTTTTTTCCAAAGATATTCCTCTTTGCAGATTTGAGACTTCTGTAAAGAGATGGTCCTCATTTTAAAAATTGCCATTTGTAGCAAATACCTCTTCAGTTCATAGAGAACCTTAATATTTTGGGGAACCTTCCCTTCCTGAAAACACTGCTTTCCAAGTTGCCCCTCCACTTCTATGAGAGACTATTCTAATGAATACTTGACTGAGTAGACTAGACAGTCAACTTGCGAAGAGATTAAGTGCATTGGTCCTTCAAAATAACTCTCAGAATCTAACCTGATTGTCCTGAATTCACCGACCCTTGCTGTGAATTTAACAGGAGTTGCACCATGTCCTGTTCTAGCATTGACAATGGCTGGTGCTGGCCTCCCCCTTGCCCATGTCTGCTTCTGAACACTGAGTCTTGTTAGACCAGATGCCTGTGGAACGACTGGCCAACAGGTAAATCTGTCCAGTCAGTGGAATATTTTGGTGCATGTATTTATGCGACACTGCATGTGAGCATACCATCTGGATATCTATTTAGTGAATTGTGTGGGGTGTATTTAAGGAGTGACCTATAACAGTCCTCTGGTTGAAGTTGCTGAGAAGCATTGGCCAAAAATGCCTTTTCTGTCTGCTGCATTATTGAAATACATGGGTATGGATGCGCTCTCCTGTTCTAGGTAGGGGATTTTGAAAGCCCAAGGGCTTATGATGCAATGCAGCTTTCACATTAGTGAGCTCACACTCAGATCAGTTATTTATCTAGCCTTTTTTGTCTCCTCTCTTGGATCAACACTCTTTGTTCAATGTTGTTGGCATGCTTTATTTTAACCTACCTGGCCTTACCTTCCCAGGAGCTCAGAATAGCTTGGCTTAAACCTCAGCTGTTAGGGGTTGAGGGAGTGAGAGAGATCCCTGGCTATATTTCAGCTTTGAAGTAGGAGTAGACAGATTAGCCTCTTCAACTCAGAGGACAAGAAGAAATGTCAGTCTTTCTGTTCCAGAGGTGACAATTCTGAGATCTCTGCTGGTGTCTCTCTCATCCCATACTCAGGGCTGCAGCATGCCTTTCTC